AATGTAATTCCTCTGTATGCAATCTGAAGTGGATATACCCACAGTATGTGTGCATATAGCCACTACATAGTGTGTAAAATTACGTTGTTTTCATATGTGTTTCATATGATAATGCATTCACTCACACACCACATACTGCAATTATTAGCTAGAGGCTTTATTAGATAATCACAGTCTGTCTCATTTCTCAGCTTTCAAAACTCGAAATAGAAGAACACCCCCACTGTGATGCAAGGTAACACAGCCTGCTGATTAAAGAGAAAAAAACCCACACAAATGAACAGAGAAACCCTGCAAGTATATTCCCACACCACCAAAACTGAGATTTAATAAAATCCCAAACCATGAGAAGATAAGCACAAATTTTGCACCTTCACATTTCTAGGGCAGCAGCTGCTAGATCAGTCCCTGCTTTCAGTAACATCCAGCACCCAGGTCTACAACTACAGCTACTGCTCTCAAGCAGGCTTCCATGCTCCAGACCTGCAATACGAATGGCACAAAAGCTGCTTAACCCCCTACACACTGTATCATTACAAAATTAACTACCTTATCGTCACTACCCACAGCGACCAGCCCTCCCTCTAACAAAAGATCTAAATTTCCTATAAAGAAGGAAACCTAGAGCCATTATTACTTATTCCTTGAGCTGATATTACAGGCTGAATTCAGGCTGATGTTGACATTCCCCCTGTGTTATCCCTTCACTCTCTTTTAAACTGAAAATGTGTGTAGGTCCTCCAACATAAGAGAACATTTTCCAAAGTTGTTAAGTTTGCAAATGTTAAGGTTCTCGTAACTCATGTTCGGGTTTGAATTTTTACTGTTTAACATATCCTCTGTCCAAGAAAAAATAAACTCATACTTTCACTGTGAACCTGTTCTGAAAGTTGAATTAATTTTGTTTTGTTGTTCAACATGTATGCTTTCACTCAAGGCAGAGGGGCTTTAAGTATGCTACAAAGAAGCGGAGTGACACCTTAAATATGACACCGACCACCCTTTAAGTTTTCAGATATATTCCTGGCTATGTGCCTTATGTAAGTTTGAAACGTGTAAAAACCTAAAAAACTGAAAAACACATGGTAACTCCTGTGTGACTCATAACAGATTTGAGAATAACACAGATTTATTTCTGACACTTCCAATTTCTTAAAAATTACTTCTCCAAATATCTTTACTTACGCTGAAAGGACATCAGGCTGTGAGTTTGTCACCACTGCTATATGGACATGAACTGTATAAACAACCAAATCAAGGCATAAGAATCAACCTCTTCATAAAAAGCAACTGTCTTTTGAAATAACTTCCAAAGTGGATCTTTTCCTCAATTTTAAACTGGATAGTAATTGAGAAAAAGGTGGAGAAGGGAAAATAAGACAGTGCCCCTTTTCACTATGCTACCATTGACACCCAACGTATAAAGTATAGCCTTTGAAAAAAGACATAAAGGACAAAGGACAAAATCATGATGATCTCAGAAAAAAGGAAGATGGACACTTAAAAGAATTCAACTAATACCACCAGGACTATTAATTCCAGCTATAATAATGCATGGCTTGACATCAAATTCTGTCCCAGGATGACCAGACACATACAGGATGCAATAGTGTTATCTGCTATAAGCTTTCTGGAGGCTATATAAACAGTCATGGAAAATCAATTTGAATACAAATGTAATTTGTTAAAAGAACAGTGAAAATCATTATGCAGGGTCACACTGCCAGCAGTTCGTACAGAAGCAGATTCCGTCCAAAGATGCAAGGGCATTCAGTAAAACAGAAGAATCTTGGTCTTTAAAAGTCTCTGTGATCTTTTCAGCCTTTTAGCACAGCTACACAAGAACAAAGCTACAGTTTACCTCTCTTGTTTCTCAGCACTTTTACTCCTTGCAGCTCATCCCAGCTGCAGAAAGAGGCTTTATAGAAACTTCTAAGCCTCAGAGAGACTGAAGGTTCCCACTGTAATGGAGAAAATAGCAATGTCTTTGAAACAGTTCCTGGAAAGTTTTTATCTTGGGCTGAGAGGACGCCACCATAAAATAATGAACTAGATTTGCCTGGTTTTGACAATGTCAAAATCATGTTGAGGGAAACCATACATGAAAATTCAGCAACAAGCTAAGTGAAAAAGCATGGTACAGATTAAGGGTCTGCTTCACGCGAAAGGCAAGTCAGTTGCCTTTATTTATCAGGATTCAGAAGATCCCGTTGCAAAGACATTTAACACATGCACATGGAATATAACAATTTGCTATGCACTTACAGCACCAGTACTGTGGCCGATCAGTTTACCCATTCCATGAGGTAAATCTGGGGACTATAATAGCCACTCATTTTAAATTCTGTCTTCATTTGATGCCAATCTTCACTGACTGTTCTGAAAGGTGTTGGCTTGTTTGTTCCTAAAAACAATGCACAGTGGGACTCAGAAACCTGTATTACTATAGGTGAGATGCACCGTATTTCTTTCATCTGAAATAACCTCTTGCAGTCTTTGTAGTCACCCTCGCAGGTACTGTCTGTTCGGAACACCAGATTGACTCACGCTCAGATGTGACCCAGGAGCAACAATGACAGCAAATGTGAAACCTTTGCAACTGTTTTGTGGTACATATAAAAGGGCATTCCTTATTAAAAACACACGTGCATCTTTCTTTTAAACTAAGGGGTAGAAGTCACTGCAACTTTGACTCCCCAGTTTCATCATATACATGCATATAAACACATCTCTGAATATCAGTCTGCTGTTACAGTGCATGAGATTGCAAATTTATCAGACCGGCTACAAGGAAGAAAATTCCAGTCTTCCACTGGGATGACGTTTTCATCATCATCTCTCTCTTTCTCAGTCTTTTTCCCCCTGCTTCTCTCTCCCTCTTAAAAAAAAGGAAAAAAAAAAAAATCAAAGTTGCCGATATACTATGTATGTGTTTCAATGCAGAAAGCAAGTTTTAAGATAACATGAATAAACTGGATTTGACCTCCATCGTTACTGTGCAGAGTTCCAAAAAAAAAGCAGTTGGCATTTTTCCTTAACAGCAGACTTGAAAAACAGGCCAATAATGAACTACATGACTTAACTTCCATCTGCAGTTGGAATTTTCCCCAAAAGACAGTGGAGAACTAGACACGGCATGCATAAAGCTACCACAGGTTTTCATTATATACCATTATACAAATGGACTTATCAAGTAATATTCAAACATAACGTTCAATGCACAAAAAGTTTTCCGCTGTTCAAAACCTGCTCTCTAAAGAGTTCGATACTTATGGTGCTTAGTGTCATCATAACTTGGAGAGGATTTATTAAAAGTAAACATTACAACAGTGAGCAAAATTAACCCAGTATATCAGACCTGTCAAGCAACATTTTATTCAGTTTCAGCATAAAAAAAAAGACAAAAAAAAGACTGTCTCATTTTCTTCTGTTTCATTTTGAAAGCCAAGGACAAACCTTTCACTAACAGTTGCAGCTTAAGCAACCATGGTGCAAATGGGTGTTTTTCCCTTCCTATTTCACTTCTATTAGAAAATCTTAAATTCTCTGTGTCGAAGTTAACTAAACACTTACATGTAAAATCGCCTCAACTGTGTACTGTGCCAAGTCCTACAGAAGCCCAATGCAAAGTACTCATGACAAGACCAGACTCTGTGGCAGATACAGCATTTTTGCTTAGAAGACTTTAGGCTTAAACTGCAAGTACAAGAACATACTGCATAAGCTATCACATGCTGGCTGCAACTGGGTGAATGTTACTGGGTTCTGAGAAGCCACCGTTCTAAATAATTTAAGATCTAATGAAATATTCAATTTTTACTGATGCACTGGTTTCATTTTAAAGGAAAAAGCATGAATAACGACGGGAACGTGTATAAAAAGGCCAAGAGAAATATACCGCTACTCATTATTATCCCAGTTGTTCGCTAAGCTTTGGGAAGACAGAGCCAGGACCACAAAAACGGACTCCCCCAGCCCTGGTACCGCGCGGAAGGGATGAGCATCCCCGGCCCAGTGGGTAGGGGAAGGGGGAAACGGGACACGGGTGAGTCCCCACAGGGGATTCGCGCTGTGGAGCGAGGTAGCAGCATGGAGAGGACGCAGGTCGGTCCCTGTGCCTGAGGCTGCGCCCCCTTCCCCAGAAAGGAGCGGATGGGACGGGCGGCGGGGGGATCCCCACGGACTCCGGCACCCTCCCCCTGTACCCCAGGTCATCATCACAGTCACCACAGTCACCACCTCACCGCGCCCGTCTGCATGCCAGGTGAGCTCAGACAACTTTATGCGCGGAGGGGAAAGCCTGCACTAAATAAATCACTCTACATAATAATAACTCTTAAGAGCTCTAAAGTCATTTTCCTGGGGTAGGGCTGGGTTTGAATCTTTCTGGTTTTGTTCTGTTAGCTTGTTTTGTGTTGTTTTGAAGGCCTGGGTTATTTGGGGGAGCGGGGGGAACGAGACACAGAGAAGGAGCCGCTGGTGTTTTGGATGGAGGTGCCCTAATTTGAGAGAGGCAAGAAAAGCGTCGCCTGACAAGGACTCTGTCGCTGCTGCCGAGATGCTATAGCCGTGCTTGCAAACTGTTTCCGCAGTTTGCTGGATCTACGTGAGCTCAGCGCTAACAGCCTTCAGATTAAAATGAAGACCGGTGATTGGGGGTGGAGGGGTGGCAAGAAGAGAAAAGCTCTGCGGATATTATTAAATCTTCCCAGCCGCTCATCTGGATTACATTTAAGCTCTCACAGCATTTCTCTTCCCTCTAATTAAGCGGAGTTTCAAAACAGAACATGTCTGAGGGCGGATCTTTCTTCGGCTTCTATTTGAAAGAGATAAGGGGGAGGGGGATGTTAATTAAACTAAAGAAGAAAAGGCAAGCCCAGACGGAGGCACCCGGCCGACAGCAGCCTCCGCGATTCCCCCCGCGCACTTCAGCTCCGACTTTGCGAGAGCTCCGGCGCTGCCTCGACCTCTCCCCTCGTCCCCGCTGCCCGACCGCTCACCTCGGGCGAGACGCGGTGCCGCCAGGCTCCCGCAGAGAACCAGCCAGACCAGCACCGCGCCGCTCATGCTCCTTTGCTCCGCGTACGCGCCGCTTCTGCCGAAGTAAGGAAGGAAGGGATAGAAGGAGGGATAAAGAGATGGGTGAACGGAGGTGGCGGAGCCTCGGCGCGTTCGGGTACGGTCGGGTCGGTCCCCGCCTTGCGAGCGGCTCTGAGGCTGCCCTGCCACCCTCCGACACTACGCTCCCGCCAGGCGCCACCGCGCCTCCAGCATAGCCCGGCCCACTCGCTCCGTCCCGCCGTCTCCACCTCCTTCACCGCCTCCTGCGCGCCCGCGTCCGCCCCGCGCGCCCCTCGCTCCGCCCCGCCCCGCCGCACCCCCCCTGCTGCTGCGGCGGGAGGTGCAGAGGGAGAGTGGCAAGGAAGGGGGTAAAGGAGGCGGGTCCCCCCCTTCCCTTCCATGGCCCTCTCTGCGCCCCTCCAGGCCTGCGCCGCCCCACCTCCTCTTCCGCAACAAATCATGCCGCGATTGTGGCTGTAGTCCCCCTGGGTAGCAGACCTCATCTGTCGCGGAGCGGACGCTGGCCGGTGCGGTTCACAGAGGTAATTGGGCCCTCCACAAACTTTTGTCCTGGGGATGTCGCCTTTACCGTGCGCAGTTTCAAACCATAGCAGCACAGTGGTTTGGGTTGGAAGGGACCTTAAAGCTCATCCAGATCCAGCCCCTGTCACGGGCAGGGACACCTCCCACTAGACCAGGTTGCTCCAAGCCCCATCCAACATGGCCTTGAGCACTGCCAGGGATGGGGCAGCCACAGCTTCTCTGGGCAACCTGTGCCAGGGCCTCAGCACCCTCACAGGGAAGAACTTCTGCCTAAGAGCTCATCTCAGTCTCCCCTCTGTCAGGTTTAAGCCATTCCCCCTTGTCCTGTCCCTACAGTCCCTCGTCAAAAGCCTCTTTACAGCTTTCTTGTAAGTCTCCTTTAGGTATTGAAAGGCTGATTTACAATTAAACTAGTCCCCTTTGAACACCCAGTAGGGAACTTCGGTGAAAAGTAAAGATCCGATATTCCACTGTTTCCTTCCCCAGGCAGGATCTTATCCTGGCCCTTGCTGAAAGGATGCAGAATGGCCGAAGCCAGACCACCGCTTATGGTATTCTCTGCCCCGCCCCTTCCCTCCCTCCATTTTTTTTCCCTCCCCCCTTCCTTCGCCCCCCCCCCCCCATCTGTTGGAGTGAAATATTGCCCAGCGGGAGTCAAAAGGCTCTTCATGTACTTTAAATCTGTAATTTGCATCCCTTCTACATGCCCTCATAGTAAAAGAGCCCATATTAATGTTACATTAATGTTATATTAAACGGTAATGCAATTGCTGAGTGAGAAGAATGCACTTAACAGCATTAGGCTGTTGAGAAGCATTTCTGTAGATACAAACAGAATGTCCCGCCTAGTTGTATGACAACAAGGAGAGACATGAAATTAAGGCTGGAAACGACCCGTTAAAGTCGTCTAATCTGTTGTCTCCTTTGGCTAGCATCTCACAATAGTTTCCTTTGTACAAGCCCTTTGTCTGCCATTAAATGCCTGTAAGTGGCAGGGTGACAGCCCTTCCCTACAGCTCTGGTTTTACATCTGCGCTTTCACTTGATGGCGTTTTTCCCTGACATTGGAAGTATTTCAGTTTCAAACATTGCATTGTCAGGGAAGAATTAAAAAGATCTTTTTTTTTTTTCATTGCTTAAACTGTGAAATTACCAGAAATAACCACACCTTCATAAATAGAATTTTACACTCAGAATCCCAGAGCGTTTTCTGCTTGCATACAGAACACAGGCATGCACTTCAAGCCAGGTTCAAGCCTCCCTGGTGGCTCTCAGGGAGCAGCAATAGGGCACTGCAAAATTGTCTAGCTGGTTAGGACAGATAAAAAGCCAAACAAACAACAACAAAAAAAAGAAAACACAAAAATCCCTGTCACCACTGACGAAGCACACACCAGTAGAGAAGGTATGTTAAAGGACAGGCTTTAGTCCAGCATATCTTCCTGCACATGCACTACCTGATATCATTCACCACAACTTTTGCTGTCTGCGCTACTCCATGCTGTAGAATAATTCACCTGGCAGCACCCACATGGGCTGCAGTTATGCCTTCATTCTGCTGCACAAGCATACTATGCAATTGCGTCTTCTACAGCAGCTTGAGTTCTACACGTCAGTCTCCAGGCCACAGATATCCCTGAAGAGCTACTGTCTGGAAAGAAAATACTTCTGTTCCTCCTTGTGGGTCTGCTTTACTGTCAAGACAGAGATGGTAGAAATTTAAGCAGCCTTAACAAAGCTTCTGATATTAATGCATCATTTCTCCACAACGGTGCTAATTTTGCTGCTTATCTCTGTTTTACAACCAAGAATCCAGCTGTCATAATTACAAGGCAAACTGTACTTCAGCTGCTGTGGCAGCCCAGCATGCCTGCACCCCCAAGTGGCAGTTTTGCCTTTCTTTTTAATTCTTCTTGAGGGAATAATCCCGTAATACAGCCTCTTTATTGCCCCAGTTAGGAAATCTAAAGGACCTAACTATATTTGGTACTGGGATGCCTTTTTCCACTGAGAACCTGTGACTAGCAGCTGATTAAAATGACACAGATACAGCTTCTTCAAAGCCAGGCATTGTTTATTCAGCCAAAAGGGATGAAACAACAAAAGGCTTTTATGTTCAGTTCTTACCTAAAGTGAAATGCCTTTTGTTTTCAGATTTTGAGTAAGTTTTTATTCAACAAAATCTGTCTCCCCACCTCAGAGGAATCACACTGTTGCTGCAGCTTTCTTGATGCCGTCTGTGCTGGGCTCCTCTTCATGTGCTGCTTTTCCCCTGTGTTTCAGGAAGGACCATGCAGGAACTCCCCCTTGCCCCATGCCTTTCTTCTAGCCCAGTTGTTTAGCACAGAGTAATGCAATGTCCTGCTCCAACTGGGTGCTGTGAGAATGACCCCAAGGTACAGACTGTCCCTCCAAAATCAAATGTTTTCTTAATATGGGTCTTCTGATATGCACCAGCCAAACCTATTTACTGCGCTAGCCTGAGTTTTACCCAGAACTCCCTGTGCTGTTGTGCTATGGGCTGGCAGTTCTTCAGTGCTGCATCATAAGCGTCGTCATTGGGGTTGTTGAGGTTACAACGTGTCACAGCATTCTCTGCCTCCAGTGCTGGATCCCTGACCTGACCTTCTCAGCGAAGAGGCTAACCTGGTGTCCTTTGTTGTCCTTGAAAGTTCAGAAATGGTGGATTTTTGCCATTTGTTATATCCACCTATTTTTAAGCCACTTGCCTCACTTGGCAGCTGGAAAAACTCATGACTCTGCTACCATTTATAAGTACTATAGGTATGTAAACATCATTTTCACATGGTAAACCTCAAGACCCAAGGCATCTTGAAGGTTCTCTTTCCCTTATTTGCTTACATATCTGCAGATTTTTAATGACTTCCCAATGGTGAAGGCACTCAGCTGAAATATAGATTAGATGAGATGGGGATGGCGCAAGCCATTGAAACTCAAGCTGACGTTCTCACCTTTTGTATGAATTTGAATATCTATACACAAAATATAAATATTACTTTTTTTACATCTGTATCTTTATCTGTAATGCAAAATTCTTCTCTCTGTCATGTGAATTCATGGTAATGCTTCATGTTCTGGAATTTAGTAGCCCTTAAATGGGACTAAGAGCTGCCAGATACTAATCCTTACTCATCCTGTCTGCTTCCTTTTTCTGTCATCTGTTGCATGAACAGAGGACACGAAGATTGCTTTTCAATTTCCAAATTGTTTCCACGCTTCAGGATAATTACTGCTGAGTGTATTTATCTGCAATCAAATATCCAAATCTTTATTTTATTTGTTTACTAATCATTCAGGGTCATGAACTTTTTTTGCATCCAATTTGTTTAAATTCTTCCATCTAATTGATCAACATAATTTACCAGGGATTTCTGTCTAACAGGATTATCAGATAGGGACCCTGGAAAAGGCTAAGGATCCATCTTGATTTTCTGGAATGGAAAAGAGTAGACTGAGAGATCAATTTCTGCCTTTCAAAAGGAAAATGCAACCTTGTCAGCTAGGCAAGAGCTATTCCGCAGCTGTAATGTCCAATTTTTTCCCTTAGTCTTCCTTCCATTAGTACTTTATTTTACCTCTTTTGTCTGCATTATTTCCTGTCCTACCTCAGATGCTCAAATTAACCCTTTAAAGTCTTGCAGTACATTAAACAGAAAAAACCCGTACAGCCATTAGACACATTGGCAGCCACGTCATTTGCCACACTGCCCTTACATAAAAAGCCATCAGTAGAGGAATAACAACAACAAAATTTAATGCACAAAATGAGCACATTTTTAGCATAAGAAACAGAATAATCCTTAATGGTAAACAGTAGTGGTATAAGTCTAACACTTGTTACACGAAAGGTGAACTGAGTAACTCTCATCAATGCTGCAGTAGTAAAAGAGTAAGAGCTATCCTTACTTTCCCCAATGTTTTGCCAGTTTCAGAAGTCACCTAATAAACACAAATGTAACCTGTCAATTACCAAATAACACCTTTAGGGTATCTTGGATACCAGCTTTGCTTGAAAGATTAGTTTTATCACTGGCTCCAGTCAAAGCACTGGCCAGGTTTGAGTCTTCTTGAGAGATCAGGACAAGCTCAGAGATCAGGGTATACAGGCAGAGATTATATTACTACCTCAATTATAATTAGGGCTTTAAAAAGCCACTCACTGCTGCACACAATCAGTGGAACTTTCCACAATATTTTCTAATAATATGTACTTTGTTCACCGGGGGTTTGTCATACGCCATTCACCATCACTGGCTACTCTGATTCTGCAAGTTATCAGCATCTCTTTTCCTTGGAGAAAAAAACAGATACGACTGTCTGTCACCACCACTGCAACACTGCCAGCATTATTCTTTTGGTTGACACTGCCTCTGAAGAAGGGAACAATTCTTTCTTTTATCTCTTCCAGAACAGAGCCCAATCCCCCACATCTTGAACATGCAAGGTTTCCAGTTAAGCCAACACAGGGTTTTGTTGCATAAAGCGTAGAAGATCCCTCAAATCTTTCTGGTTCAAAAGAAGTGTCATGTAATGCTGCATCACAGGAAAGGGAGAGAAGTGGCTGCAACACAGGGAAACATGCAAACTTTATTTAAAAAAAAAAAAAAGTACCTTTTCTTTCAGTCTTCCATACAATGTTTTTTTTGTTTTTTACTATTTATAGGAAGGAAGC